CCATATCCAGATCCATATCCATATCCATATCATATCATATCACATCACATCACATCACATCACATCATATCATATCATATCATATCATATCATATCATATAGTAATGTCATATCCTATCCTGTCCTATCCTATCCGGTCCTATGATATCCTATCCTGTTGTGTCATATCATATCATCCTATATCATACATTATCATATCATATCACGCCGAGTCATATCTTATCACCATCATCATCACTCCCGAACAGCAGGCATGCTTGGGACTTGCAATCTGGTAGGGCCAAGGTCAGTGACTAGAGTTTTGGAACGCTTTCGCGGAAAGTTAAGAAACGTGTGCGCGCCGTGACCTCCCTACCTCGAGCCACTCGAGCCGATGGTCATTTCCGAAAGCCCTGATTGCCGCGAGACCTGAGTTCGGCGAGGATACATGGAAGGAGCTTCGAAAGAATACTTATGCTGCTACCACGGTGAAGACCCTAGATTCTCGGTGGAAACTCTGGTTGCAGCTTGCGACTGCCTGGGACCTTGACCCGTTGCCCTTGACAGTACGATCTGTCGACGCTGTTGCAGCGAGCCTTAGGGCTGGAGGTTACAAATCTGCTAAGTTGTTGTTTAGCCAAGCCCGCCAAGAACATGTGGCACAGACCCACTCGTGTGTACCTCCCCAAGTGTTACTTCGAATGTCTCAAGCCGAAAGGGCCGTCGAACACGGACGAGGTCCCACCAAGCTTAAGGACTCCTTCTTCGTGGAGGACGTCGGCAAGATCAACGATGTCAAGATCGAGTTCCCGGGCCCCATACACTGGGCACAACACCTCGCCTACCGCATCCATATGGTCATCATATGTTGCTGGTGGCTCCTCCGAGGCATTGAAGCGGCTGCGGTTATGCTGACCCAGGCATGGACTGAGATTACACACTCCGGACGCAACGCCTTCATCACTTGCCTTGCACGAAGACCGACATCGTGGGCCTGTGCGTTACCCGGTCCCGTCCCTGTAGTTGTCATCGATCCCCTCGACTTTGTCCTTTTCACGCTCTTCGACGGCACCTTGATCGAATGAGAGACCTTGGATACCCCGAGAATGCACCGCTTTTCCCTGGAGAGGGCTGCCAACCTTTGCAGCATCATCAGACAGTCGAAATTTTTCGGTCTGTCATCGAGGCCACACGCACATCGATGACACGCTTCGGACCTAATGGGGTGCACCAAGGAAGGAAACTAGCGCCGGGCAGTCTGAGCGCACGAAACGTGCCTTGCATTGCGGCCGAAGGGAGGAGACAGTGCGTGCATTTTCACATGCCGACAGATCAGTGCGGCTAGAACTGATGCTTTCCTTCGCAAAAAGATCCTGCGCAAATATCGCCAAGAAGTCGTCAGACCGATACTGCCAGAATACGACAGGAGACATTTCACTGAGTGCCTATCTTATGACATTCCGGCTTTTGGGTGTTGGTGACAACTTTGGGCTGTTTACACTTTGAATTTGGAATGGAAAAATCTCTCATTTGAAAACCCCGAATATCATGTGACATGTGGTTCAATTTTCGAGCATGGTGTTTAGTCCGCATCACGGCGAGGTGGCCTCTGCCGCTCTCGAGTTTCAAGTAATTGCCGCTGCAACTGACGTGCCGAGCCTGTGGGGAACCGGAGGTTTGTATAAGAAATCTACTGAATGTGCTGTGCCAATGTTGTCACAGCGAAGCCTGTGCAACTTTCTGCAACAAGGTTCCTGGCTGCCCGAACAGGTCATTAAGCATAGCCTTCTTCCGCTCGTTGTTTGGCACGCCAGCAACGTGGCTTGAAGCTCAGAACTACGTGGGCACGTGCCTTAGATTGGTTTTCTTTTGATCTGCGGCTTCTTGCGAACATCCGGTGGCCAGTGAAAGACCTGAGCCATAACGCTGCTTGCACATCTCGGTAGACAACAAGTGGGGCGCGCCATTTGCTGTGTGTCGGGAGGCAACTGTTGTAGCCCTCTTCCTGGGCGCAGCTGTGCGGTCAAACCTTACCTTAGCTTGCCTGCTGAGATAATAATACTCATAATCATCATCATCATCATCAGCTTCGTCACCGTCATGCTATTCTTCACCAGCATCTGCAAAATCACCATCATCATCATCATCATTGTATCGTTGGTCATCAATATCAACGACAACATCGTCACCAGCACGACCATATTCACAGCTCATCCTTGCTCCTGTTAAAAGCAGAACTCTACCGGCATTTGGAGCTGTGGCCAGATCAACTCAGTTTTGCATACACGCTATGAATGCACGGAGCTGAGGAAGAAAGCTAATCCGCCAGTGTACACGAAGATCCTTCAGCAAAATTTGTTTTAGGATTCCTGCTAGGCTTCGATCATCATTATCATCACCACCACCATCATCATCAAGCCACGTCGCACGCCCCTGGCATGTAGAGCATGGGGATTTTGAGGCTCGTGCCATCCCTAACAACTTCGCGCAGACCCAAGAACATCGGAAGGTTTTAATGTTCGACCCCAGTCGGTGCTTGCACAAATCTGAAGGAGCTGGATGTGGAGGTGATCGGTCTAGACTTGAACAAGTGACATGGCCAGTTTGTGTGTTTGATTGGTGGTGTGTTCTCATGTTTTCTGTATGATTATGCTAGAAACCGCCAAAGCCTCATTCTAGCTTTTCAAGCTCTTATGTATATTATCAACGGACCAGGTGGATTGGTTCGTTCAGGTTCTGGAAAGCTCAGCCGGGGCGTCTCAAAGCCGAGTTCCTGAAAAGGCGGGTCGTAACCTCAAACCTTCCTTTGTCAACACCGAGATTTTTGGTGCTCGAGCTAGCTAAAGCCCCCACGACAGCGATTGTCATCCCGCTTTGTACAACCATGACGGAATACAAGCTGGCAGTGGATTCCTCGAAGAAGGCCACGGAGCTGCCGCTCCTGAGGGTCTGCGGCACTGTGCAGCAAAATCCGCACATGCGTGCTTTCTGGGCCAGCACAATCTCTTTCTTCCTTGCCTTCCTGGGCTGGTTCGCCTTGGCGCCTTTAGGCCTCGAGGTTGCGACCAGTATGGGGACGTGTGAGAACCAGATCTACCCTCCTACGGAGTTCCCAACGCGACCAGCCTACCTCAAGTTCAAGAACTTGAAGAGTGGGCTGAGCTATTGCCAGTATGGGGTTCTCAAAGAAGATGGTCAGATGATCGACTGCAAGGACGTCCCGGCAGATGCGGCAACTGCTGAGCAGAAGGAGAAGTACAGGCCCCAGGTGCTCACAAAGTGCGTGTGCACCCCGGGCACGGAGTGCAAATCGGTGATTGCGAATGCGGGCGTAGCATCGGTTGCCTCGACTATCTTTGTGAGGATAGCCTTGGGGACGCTGCTAGAGCGCTTCGGCCCAGTGAACGTTCAGTGCGGCTTAATGTCCTTCGGCGCTTTTTGGGTGGCAATGGCAGCCGCGATTTCAGCTCCATGGAACTACACGCTGATTCGCTTCTTCATCGGCTGTGCTGGTGCCACGTTCGTGACCAATCAGTTCTGGTGCTCGCTGATGTTTGCCCCCAACGTTGTCGGCACGGCCAATGCCACTGCGGCCGGTTGGGGCAACCTGGGAGGCGGCGTGACCCAGATCTTTATGATGTCAGTACTTTTCAATCCTATGGTCGCATCCGGGATGGAGCCAAATGTCGCTTGGCGTGTCTCCATGGTGGTGCCGGCGATCATGTTCGTGCTTTGTGCCATTTGCATGAAGCTCATGTGCTGGGATATGCCAACGGCTCGCAAATATGATCCGACCGTGACCGGCAAGACACAAAAGCCTTCAATGTGGGACTATGTCGAGGTGCTGCGTGACGTTCGCGTCGTGGTCATGATCTTCCAATATTCCGCATGTTTCGGCACAGAACTCGCAATGAACAATCAGTTGGCTACGCATTTTCGGACCTACTTCCAGATGGATGCAGGTGATGCCAGCGCCCTGGCAGGTGCTTTCGGCCTCATGAATCTTTTCGCAATTAGCAGCGATATTTGCTACAAGTACTTCGGCTTCCGCGGCCGCATTTGGGCTCAGTTCCTGGCACTCTTTTTCGAAGCTATCTTCCTATTCAGCTTCGGAAACGTGGACAATTCGCAGCCTTGGTATGTGGCCTTGGCAGTCTTGGTTTGCTTCTCGCTCTTTGTGCAGATGGCTGAGGGCACCTCCTATGGCATCGTGCCGTTCATGAATCGTAAGCAGCTAGCAGTGGTGTCCGCGCTTGTGGGTGCCGGCGGAAACCTCGGGGCAGTCATTGCAGGCTTCTGCTTTTACAAGCCGATCCAGGATGCCTTGCTGCCTTTCCAGGTCCATGCGGGCTATGTTATGTTTTGGGCTCTGCTGAGCCCATGCTACTACTGGTCTGAGACCGGCGGGATGTTCTGCGGGCCGGCACAAAGCTTCGAGAAGGGCAAGACCCACAGCAGCGAGTCCGAGTCGTACACAGAGTCCGAGGCCACCAGTGAAAACTGCATGTGAGCTTTAGCCTAGTTCTGCTGACGCTCGAGGCTGAACAGCAAATCTTTGTGATCATGCACAATTCGATTACTCGAGCCAGTTTTGTGTGGCAGGTCGGTGTTTTAGCATGGAGTGCAATGCACCGGCGAGTTTAGACAGTCCCGCCGCGTGGCAACAGCGGTGCGTCGGGCCTGCCATTGCTGCACTAACTGCCAAGCAAATGACTTGGTGCCGCCGGCAACATGCAAAAAAGAGCGTGAGTTCGCAAGTGAGGGATCAGGGCCAACAGCAGATGCCTTCGTGGCGAGGAGGGCGCAAGATGCATATCCTGGAATTGTCGTTTTACCCATTTGTGAGTGGAAGCCTGATACGTTTCGCTTGAATCAACTGTGTTTTAGGGGCAGACGGATACGTCCTTCGAGCAGCAACACTTAATACTCACAAGCTGAGGTACATGGATGGCTGGAATGCGAGCGCCAAGGATGAAGACCTATTTTTGACGGCGACCTGGCAAAGATGCAGTGCGGAATGCAGGAGGCGTTGTAGAAAGTTCAGATGCATTTTTTCACAACACACTGGAAGAGTTTCATGAGGTCCGGCTGGATTGCTTAGCATGGTTTAAGAACGAAAATGGTATGTGCCTTGCAGGAGCGAGTTTTTCGTATCCTACCCTGTCCATCTGCCTGTGTAGATAGAGCTGGCACCATCATCATCATCATCATATCCCCAAAATCCAGGTCGCCACTCCCTGGTGTCCCCCGTAACAATGCCCAGAGAATTCTGTGGACCCCAAATCTCTTACCTGCGGCCCCACCAACTCGAAACCTGACACCCCGATTTCAACCCCAAGCTTTAAACCCGAAACCCAAAACCCCAAAACCCCTGAACCCTAAACTCTAAACCCTAAACCCTGAACCCCAAACCCCTAGACCCGAAACTCTAAACCCTAAACCCCAGCTGCAGCTCCCTTTTGCCACGGAGCTCGGAAGTCCCGAGCCCCGCGTA